GAAGACTCCCACTGTGCAAAGAATAACAGCCGGACACCTCTCCCAGGTATAAGTCAAGCATTTCAATGATCTTCAACAGCAGCTGGTAAAACGGAACCCGATTTCCAAAATAACATAAGCACAGTTCAGCACAGGGATTACTATTTCATAGACTTCACAGAACACTCAAGTCTTACTTGCTGAAACTTCCTGCTTTCTTATATAATCAATTAGTGCATCTAACATTTTTTAATGATGTTGCAGGTAACATAGTGAGTATAGATATACAGAGAAAACAAAGAGAAAAGCGGTGCCTGAACTTCATGAAACATAGAAGATAAAATAATAGACTCTTGCGGTAGAATTCTAGGTCTACTTTTAATGTCTGTTTTCACAAAATAATTTGAGAGGGAGAGAGGGAGGAGATAGTAGTGTGCTGTTTTATGTGTTAATGCATCAAGTCACTTCCAATTTATGACAACCCTATGAGTTAATGACCTCCAAAACATCCTATCTTTAACAGCCTTCTTCAGGTCTTAGAAACTGAAGGCTGTGGCTTCCTGTATTGAGTTAATAATCTCATATTGGGTCTTTCTGTTTTCCTATTGCTTTCAGCTTTTCTTAGCATTATTGTCTTTTCCAGTGAGTCTTGTCTTCTCATAAGGCTTTTCCACATTCTCATTTCCTTGCTTGTAAGTTCCTGTTTCTTCATTTTTTCCTGTTCTGCACCATTTTGCTCCCTCTGTTGGTCAATTTGATATTACATCAGTTTATGCCCTGCATAAAATCCTGCAGTTTAAATCTGCAGTGAGATATGCTGAACATAAACCGATGTAATATCGAATCAGCCACTAGAGGGAGCAAAGCCTGTGGAACAGACACCCCCCCCCGAAGAAACAGGAACTTACAAGTGAGGAAAATGTGAATGCAGGAAAAATCATAAAATGACCAAAGTACAATAACCTCCACTTGGTCATTTTAGCTTCTAGGGAGAGTTCAGGCTTGATTTGATGTACAATCCACTTATTTGTCCTTTTGGTGGCCCATGGTATCTGTAAAACTCTCTTCCAACACCATATTCCAAATGGATCAACTTTCCTCCTGTCAGATTTCTTCATTGTCCAACTTTCACACCAATACGTAGTAATGGGGATTTTTTTTTTGCCATCAAGTTGCAGCCAACTTGTGGCAACCCCGTAGGGTTTTCAAGGCAAGAGACGTTCAGAGGTGGCTTGCCATTGCTTACCTCTGCATTGCAACCCTGGCATTCCTTGGTGGTCTCCCATCCAACCAGGGCCAATCCTTTTGGCTGCCAAGACCTGATGAGATCAGGCTAGCCTGCCATCCAGGTCAGGGCTAACGGAGTATGGGGTTTCCACTAACAAAAACCTGATTGTGATATATCACCAGCAGGGCTGTAGCCAGTGGTGGGGCACATGGGGCTCCACTCCTTTCACATTTGAAGTGCCCCCCCACCCACTGGCGTTCGGGTGTGTGTGGCTCGAAGGGGGGCCCTGTCGCCCTTCTCCCTCCCCATCCTGATCGACTGCAGCTGCTCCACTGGGCCTACTTTCCAGAGTGCCGCTCTCTCGCCCACTGTGGAACTTGCTCCAGGCTGGCGTGTATCTCAGCAGCCAGCTGAGAGCAGCTGCTGTCTCCTCCTTCTGGATCCAGCCCCAACTCCACTCCCGCTGCAGAAAGGCTGAGCCAGGCTGAGGCAGAGCTGTTGGGGGGGTGTCTCCTTACAACTGGGAAATCCCATGTAAGGAAAGCCCAGCCAGCCGCTTGCCTCCATGTTTGAGCGTGGCTAGATGGCAGCAGGGTGGTGGTGGTGAGTCATGGTAGGCATGGCTCCTCCCCTCCCAGCTGGGCTCCCCTCGCTGCCTTCACCTCTTGCAGCATCCCGAGCCAGGCTGGGCCACCATAGCCACTCCCATTGCATGCTACGTGTTACGAGCTTGGCCGGACTGCCACAGCAGCAGCAGCCCTGCCGACAACATTACTGTTGGAGCCTGTCCAGTTGCCGAGGGTTCTCCTTACAACTGGGAAATCCTATGTAAGCAAAGCCCAGCCAGCCGCTTGCCTCAGTGTTCGAGCGTGGCTAGATGGCGGCAGGGTGGTGGTGGTGAGTCATGGCCGGCATGGCTCCTCCCCTCCCAGCCGGGCTGCCCTTGCTGCCTTCACCTCTTGCAGCATCCCGAGCCAGGCTGGGCCACCACAGCCACTCCCACTGCATGCTAGGTGTTACGAGCTTGGCCGGCCTGCCACAGCAGCAGCAGCCCTGCCGACGACATTACTGTTGGAGCCTGTCCAGTTGCCTAATAGAAAATCTTTTAACAACTTCCATTTCTTCACTGTCAGCTTTAAAATTGTTTAATTTCTCAGTAGTCATTACATTTGTCTTCTTTTTTTTTAACGATTTATTTGTGTATTTTCCGTTACAAAAAATTAATTTAGTTAGCTCCCCGATGCCCCCCCCCCAAAAAAAGTCCTGGCTAAGGGGCTGATCACCAGGAGGTTATTTGAATCTTGGTCACCAGTGACAGCTTTGTCATCTCTCCCTGCTAGTATTTGGTTTAATTTGTCCAATTCCGCTATTTCAAGGATTTTTTCGACTATCTCATCTCTTCTAGGTATTGTATCTGTTTTCCATTTTTTAGCTACAAGGATTCTGCTTACTGTAAGAATATATAGGATAATACAGTGATCGTTCTGAACATAATACCAGATAGATTAATTACATTTGTCTTCTTGATGTTCAGTTGTAATCCTGCTTTGACACTTTCTGTTTTAACCTTCATCAGTAGTAATTTCAAGTCTTCACTAGTCTAAATACTTCAGAATGATATATCAGGTTTGATGGTCAAGTAGTAATGATGGGTGGTTACTCAGTGTATGCAGTGTTTAAACCATATTTTATGGTACTTAAGAATTAGAACATAAAATAGAGAAAATTAAGTGTCCGGGCAGGATGCAACAAGTTTAACAGGAACTGCAGCTAACGTGCTTTACAGGAGTTGTGGCAGAGCATATGCTTTGCTTGAGAAAGATTGCAGTCCCTGGTTATCTCCAGTCAAAATTATCTTGGGTAGGAGGTGGGGAGAAATACCCTTGTCTCCCTGATAATCTAATAAACCACTAACTGCCAGAGCAGACAGTACTGAGCTAGATGGACCAGTGCTCTGAGTCTCCCAGCAAGGCAGTCATGATGCTCTGGTTAGACATCTAAAAATTCAGGAGATGTTGAAGACATGGGAAAAACTCAGCCACCCTCCCCCCAAAAAACAGATTATTTATTTGTTTGGGGGGGTGATATATATGCAGTACTTACTTTCCTATCAAACTTGAACTTGTTTTACCGCTTTAACATAAAATGCATCATTTTTAACTTTGTTAGCACATAGAATTTCACTATTTGAACTAATTGTAGAATTTGAAAGTATAAATGCCTTAATTTACGACAAGCAGAACTGTGAATATATCCAATGAGCGAGAGAAAGTGAGTTGCAAAATGTTCATCCTGTGTTGCTTTAGCAGAGGAATGTTAATTTGTGCTGAAAGGTAGGAAAAATAAAAGCTGAAATTAGAAAACAAGTTCTGTAGTAAACAAGAATGTTTTATTTGAACAGAAACACAGTCATAATAAAACTGCCAGCATTTTTGGTTGTCAAGTTAAACCTTATAGCATTGCAAACAGTAAACTTTTAAATAATGTATTATCATCAAACATAGTATAGCACATTAATTATTACAAATCTATGCACATTTAAACAACAAACACATTCTTTAATGTGTGTTCTATATGCCTTTAGGAATAATTGTTTTATATAAAAAAATTTACACTACATTTTGAGTAAAACCTTGCCTTCAAAGTATTTCACTCATTCCAAAAGAAAAAATATTTCACAGGAGTTTTTTTCATTGCTGCTCCAAATTTTTGCAACAGAAAAATTGGGGGTAAAGTCCTAGGAACAAATTTGTTCTTTCTCTGAATACATCCATTTCCCCCCCCTGGGCCTTCATATCTATAATTCTGATTCAATATTAGGCATTTCGGTATATTGATAAGCTGCTGCTCAGTGCTACTTTCTTCAAAATTGCTTTGTAATTTTAATTTTTAATTTCCTTCTAATTATTTTTATAGGAACTTCAGCTTGAATTTATCTAAAACATAACGGTGCAATCCTAAGCAAAGCTACATCCTTCTGAGTCAATAGAAGTTGATGAGCCTAGAAGGGTCTAACTCTGCTTAGGATGGCACTGTTAATTTTTCACAGTCCTTTTTTCAAGTGACGGAAGCTGTAGCTATCCGATTTCCTAAAATTATGGAGTATATCCTTGCAATCTGAGTTCCATTTGACATACCCACCTAGAAGGCAAAGGCCTTGAGGGAGTTGTGAACGCTCCAGATATTATCTGTAGGATTAAACTATAGCTAGTTTCCTATGATATTGAAAATCATGAACAAAACGTGGGAAGTAGTATGAAGAACACATAGTGAACTGTTGTTTCGTGAGCTGCTAACGTCTGTAGATTCATTGTAGGGTTGCCAACTCCAGCTTGTGAAACTTCTGGGAATGGTGCCTGGGGAGGGCAGAGTTTGGAGAGCAAAGAGAGTTGAGTGGTGATGTGATGCCACAGAATCTACCCTCTGAAGCTGTCATTTCTTCCAGAGGAACTGATATCTGGAGTATGGAGATCACTTTAATTCTGGGCGGCCTCCAGGCCCCACCTTGAGGTTGGTAACCCAAATTCCTTGTATAGCACAGTCTTTACAAATGAGTTTGTAGATTTCTTGAAAAGCTTTGACATATGTGTATTGATTATGTTTTGATCTTTAATGTTGCTTTATCATATTTATAATGTTTTATTTTATTTTTGAAAATCTCTAGGTATAGTCTTTACAAATGAGTTTATAGATTTCTTGAAAAGCTTAGACATATGTGTATTGATGATGTTTTGATCTTTAATGTTGTTTTATCATATTTGTAATGTATTATTTTATTTTTGAAAATCTCTAGGTATTTTTTGATATACAGATTGGTGGCAAAGATGTTGGAAGAATAGTAATTGGATTGTTTGGAAAAGTGGTACCAAAAACAGTAGAAAACTTTGTTAAACTTGCAACTGGAGAAGTAAGTTGTATTTTTAAATATTTTGGAATGGAAAACTGTTTTGGTGAATTTTCCAGTCTGTTGTGCTTTTTCTTCTCAAGAGCAACCCCCCCACCTCTCCCCCCCCCCCCCCTTACTTCTTTCCTTAGCATGCATGGTCAAAATTTGGGTCTGACTTCTACAGCTGTACGGCTACATGACAACTGCATGAAATCTAATCTGTGTGGAGGTGTTTCCCCCCCTTTAAATGTAATAAGATATTCCTCAAAATAATATCAAGGAGCAGTAAAAGAAAACACCCCATTTCCCCACTGTTCCAGGCAGAATGCCATAGATGCTAGTTTAGTTAAGAATGGATTCAGATTGTGTTTGATTTTGGCAGGCCTCTTTAGGGAAGGAGTTCATATAGCTGAACTACAACTGACAAAAACCCTGCTCTGTGCTCATAATGATTTCATTTCTTTGAAATTCCCCTTGTACATGACCTCAGCTACCATAGTTATAAATGCACAGCTAGGTCAGACACAACAGACAGCCAGTTCTGGCTGAGTCAGGCCTGAAGTGTACATCTGGGTAAAAGCAGTCCAACATGGCAGTGTTTCCACAGGGGTTTACATTGCCACTATGTTGCTGCTCTTGCTACAGTGGTGGATCTGTATGGTGATTACTTACATACACATGGAATGGAGTTTGCAATTTAGCTTAACTGGCCTTTAGGATCCCACCTAGAATTTCCATAGGTGCAGGGGGGTGACTTTTGCTGATTCCCTTCTCCCACCTATTCTTGAGTGTCCCCTGTCCTCCAGGACCATCATTCAAGGGGTGTTTTTGGTTCCTGTGGAGGGGAGAATCAGCAAAAATCACCCCCATTCTTGTGTCCAGAAAAGTTCTAGGTTGTTATTTGTTTATGGGAATATGGCTTTAGGTACCTCTTGCCCTTTTACATAACCCTAGTTGGTGAACTGTACATGGACCCAGCTGCTTATCTTATAATCTAAAGGCTGTGCATCTTGCCTCTCTATTCACTGTTGTTGCACTGTGACAGACAGGACTCAATATTGTACAAAATAATTTTATTTTGCAAGTTTATTCTGTTTTACCAAAATACTGGAATATCTTGTATGCTATTTTAAATCTGGGTTGCATTCTTACACATGCTTACCTTGGAGAAATTGGTTCTATGAAACATTTAATATTTTATTTAACTTTCTTTTTTTTACTCTGTATAATGCCTGGCAAAACTACAACTGTGTCATTCTTAACTTTGTCTTTTAGAAAGGTTTTGGGTATAAAGGAAGCAAATTTCATCGTGTTATCAAAGATTTCATGATTCAAGGAGGTGACTTCACAGCTGGAGATGGCACAGGAGGTGACTATTTTAGTCTATTATGAATTAAAATATGAAGTTTTGGAGCTGATCGCAGTACAAGTGTTCCCTCTAAGCTGAGTTAGTGTGAGCTAGCTTACAATTTTTTAGCCCCCAGCTCACACACCTTTCCCTTGGCTCAGGAAGGAGGGCTCCAAAGCTAACTGGTTTATGCAGTAGCCAAATCACTGGCTCACAACTTTAAAGCCAGTAACTCGCAAAGCAGAATTTTTGCTCACAAGACTCCACAGCTTAGAGGGACAAAATGTCGGCATCTGAAATATATAGTAATTAGATTCTCTTATTGTAGAATGAAATCAGAACAAATAAGTCTTTAGCCAAATTGAACCACCAACAGGTGATCAAGATTCTTAATTAGGGATGTGCACACAAACACAAAATTGGGATTTTTCAGATTCAGATATATTGGACCCCCCAAAATACTGCTTTGGTATTTGGATTAGGTTTGTTTTTTTTTAAATCCCGAATTTCCCCCGGCTCCATTATATCCTATGGGAACAATGGGGAATCTATCTAGGGGTATCCAGGGATCTGGGGCCCCCGTTTCTTGAGGCACCAAAATTTCTGTGTAGTTTCAAACCAGAGAGTCTCTGCAGTAAAAACTGAAGGGGAGGGGATTTTTCCAAACCCAGCTGAACCAGTGCATGTACAGAGTGCCCAGCAGAACCAGTCCCACAGTAGCAATGCCAGTGCAACAAATCCAAGCAAGGGGGGTGCAAGCACAGTGGAAATTTGTTGAGCTGGCATTGCTACAGTGGCATTGGTTCTGCCGGGCACTCTGTACATGAACTGGCTGTGCTAGGCTTGCAGCCCCCCCCCTCTGGGATTTGTTGAGTTGGCATTGTCACAGTGGCATTGGTGCTATTGGGCACTCTGTACATGTACTGGCTGTGCTAGGCTTGCAAAAAAACAACAACCCTTGCTTGGATTTGTTGAGCTTGCAGAAATGTTCCCCTTCAGTTTCTACTGCAGAGACTCTGGTTTGACATCAGTCCCTGCTTTTTTGCTGTTTTTTCCTCCATTGGAAATAATGAAGGATGAGGGTACCTGCTTTGGGGGCCCATAGAATTGGACCCCCTAGTCCAATCTTTTTGAAACTTGGGAGGTCTTTTGAGTAGAGGCACCAGAAACTATGCTGAAAAATTGGTACCTCTATCTCAAAAACAACCCTCCCAGCCCCCTACATACCCTCTAATAGATTCCCCATTATAGCCTATGGGGATCATTTATAATGGTCCCCATGGGTGATAATGGAGCTGAAGGCATTTAAAAGTGTCACAGACCCTTTAAATGCATTTGTGAAGCTGCAGTTTCACCCAGAATGACATATAAAGGAAGTGCACTCTCTTTATATGCCATTTAACTGTGGCTATCCTGTTTTTCCGGATAATCCCGAATTGGCTATTGGATATCTGAAAATCCACCCCCCTCTGTATCTGGCTGAAAGAATAGCCGATAAATATGGCTATTTTTTCCAGCTCGGATAAAGCCAAGTACATACCCCTGTTCCTAACACAATTAATAATCCTATCATCTATCATCTACCTTTCCTCAACTAGTATAAGTTAATAGATCAGTATATCATTATGAAAAAAAATAATTCCTATGTAGTTATTGTGCTCCAGAATGGAAGTTGAAATTATCAAAATCTTGTAAATTGTTACTGTAAAAATTTGCCTGTTCTGGGATTGCAGGTTAGAAAGAGTTTTAGTTACAGCTAACTTAAAAGGAGCAAATCTCCCTTTCTCTTCAAATACTATTTTTGTCTGTACCAAGACAGCCGAATTTTATGTATTTTTTAAAACTTGGAAGTTAGTCTTCATTGTATTACCTCCTATCCATGCCATCCTTGGGGAGGGGGGGGGTTGTATAACCTTTGGGCCCTCTCCCTACTATGCTCAATGCCTGTGCCTTGCTACTTAGTGCAGATTTTAAAAAAGTTTTAGTACTGGTGTTAAACTTGATGTAAAAAATACTGAGAGGCAGAAGTATAGTCATATAAATACAAATGCAAGTAAAATTCTACATGCACAGATCTCAGTATAGAGGATCATTGAATCCAGCACTCAGAGAAGCTAGATGTGTCACAGAACCCGTAGTGCATGCTATCTACTGTTCTGTTGCCGGCCATGTTTCGAAAGCATGGGAAGGACTGACTTTACCTTCTTCCTTTTCCTTCCCATGTACCGGGAGGTTAGGCATCAGAAGATTTATAATCCCGGCAACATGTGAGATACCTATACAATATACTTATATTTGGATTTGTGCTAGGGTGATGGTCTTGATTTTTCATAACCATCTTGTCTTGCTTCTCAGGAGTAAGCATTTATGGAGACCGGTTTCCTGATGAGAACTTTAAACTCAAGCACTATGGTATTGGATGGGTCAGCATGGCTAACTCTGGCCCACATACTAATGGTTCCCAGTTCTTCATTGCTGTGACAAGGCCTGGATGGTTAGATGGAAAACATGTAGTATTTGGAAAAGTCATTGATGGAATGGTAATTTTTTCCATAACAACAATTTTTAATGATTGTTTGGTCAAGTACTTTGGGTCTACTACTGTTAGTCTTTAAAAAAATACCTAGTAGTCTGATCTGCTGCATTTCTGGTGTATGGTTATGTGAAGAATAGCCCTTTAATGATGGTAGAAAGTTGTGTTCATTATCTAACCCATTCTTGCAAAAGAATAATTACTACAGAAATATATTTCTGATCTCCCCAGTAGGCAGAACTCTACTGCTTGTCATTAGGAGTCTTTTATAAGTCGTCCAGGAGATGCTGTCATAATGCAGTATTTCTAAGCCCAAAGATGGATAATATGTTGCGAAGTTCAGAATGTTAATTTTTTTCTTTGTGTCCTCAGGCTGTGGCAGTGAGTGAGCCCTAAAATAGACATGTGCCTGTACAGATTTTTTAAATTACCTGTGAAGTTTGTTCTAAGTGCAACTGGTAGCATCTTAGACTATGTCCAGAGGAGTCTAACTCTAGGACACATGAATTGTTTTAGTGCTTCAGGTCTCTGTTTCATGTTCAGTGTTTCAGCACATATTTCAGCCTGCACATGGTTTGTGATGGGCAGTCCATCAGGCATTTTTTCTTTTTTCAAATTCAGATTAGCTGTGAATGGAAAGAGTCCACAGAGTGGATCTGTCCTTTCCTCCACACCCTCTCGAGGGTCAAGAAACCCTTGGGAACAGAATGGGAAACAGTGCCAGGGGGCTGCAACAAAAAGGGAGAATTGTTAGAAAGCACCGTCCTCCACACACATGTTGTTGCACGCACTCTTCCTCTTCGAGCTGCAGCCCCTGCCCAGTGTTACCCACTCTGGCCTGAGGACCCTCTGTAGCAGCTTTTGAGGAACAAAGGAACTACAGGCAGTTACTTCCTATTATTTTCAGTACATAGGATCTAATGTTGGCCCTTCCTGCACTAACAGCTCACTGTAGCTTACTCTGGAGAATCCAAGCAGTCGAGCCTTTTAGGTTAACTTCATCTTTTGTGTCCCTGCCCTCTGTACTATTCTTCTTTTCTCCGGTTTATTTTTGTGTATTCATTCTGCATCTACAACCAAAGCCCGCATTTTTTGCTTAATTGTGGTTAGTGTCACTTGTGACCTGTGGAGGGGGTGTCCAGTTGCTACCGACTTGGCCAAGTGCATAAGCAAGGGATGGGGGCACACAGCACTCTCCCCTCTCTTGCCTCTCCTCCCTGCTCTCCCACCCCCTTTGGCTAGCTGCCACTGGGCTACTCCAGGCATGCATGACCCATAGAGGGATGCAAGCTTGGCAGCTGGCTGGCTGGTCTGTCACGAGGGGTGGGGTCCCAAGGGTTTTAAATAAACAAAACAAAACAAATGGGTCCTCAAGCCTCTCCCAGTGTTTCCAAAGGGCAATTTTGTCACTCCTTTTAGTACATCCCCCTCCAAGTTGTATGCAGATTGGCTTTGGGGAAGGGAGAAAAGATCCCTCCTAGGGTCCAATGTGCAAAGGGGGGAGTGGGGAGGAGTGTGTCAAATGCCTCCTCGCAAGCTAGAAGTGTCAAACTCCCAAAGGACCTCTCTAAGCTGCCCCTCTACCTGCCCTCCAAGTTGTGTGCAGATTGGCTTTGGGGAGGGGGGGGGTAAGATCCCTCCCTAGGGTCCAATGTGCAATGGGGAAGAATGTGTCAAATGCCCCCCCCCCGCAAGTTAGAAGCGTCATACTCCCCAGGCTGCCCCTCTACCTGCCCTCCAAGTTGTGTGCTAGGTGAAAATTAAATAGAAGTGGAAGTAGGGATGGGGGAATGGGTGGAAATGACTAAAGCCACCTCAAGTAGTCTGCTTATTATTCCCTCTGAATCAGAAGCTGAAGAGCAAAAAGGTCTGGGGAGAAACCACTTTCAGATACCCCGGGGCAACACCGTGATGACTGTGAAGTCACCTCCAAACAGCCATAAAACAACGCAGAATCTGGAAAGAGCTGTGATGCAGGAGGAAAGTGAGAGCGGGATGCAATGTGGAGTGAGATTCTGCTTCCAATATGGCTGTGGACAAACTGCAGGGGAACAGACGGGTGCAGAAAAGACCATTATGTGTTTTTTCCCTAGCCACTTCCCACACCAAGGGTTTTTAAAGAGTTTGCATTCAGAGATGCAGAAGCAGATTCTTGTCTGTATCCACAGTTTTTGTTTTATTGGGAGGGGGGGGGATACAACTGAAAGACATGAACATATGCTTCAAAAAACACCTTCCCTTTTATTTATTGGAGATAAAATATATAATCTTACTGGATTTAAAAATATCTTCCTGGATTTTCAGGCTGTGGTGCATGCCATAGAACTGCAGCAAACAGATGAACATGACCGCCCTCTCCAAGACTGTGTAATTGTCAACAGTGGGAAGATAGATGTGAAAGAACCATTTGTGGTTGAAGTAGATGACTGGACAAGTTGACAGTGTGTGCAAAGGAACCAATCTTTGGTAAGCACAGTATGAGGAAAAATATTTTTAAAACAAAAAATGTGGTAATCTCAAATGTAGCGTTGAAGTATCTGGGTGATAATGCTGTCATCTTCTTCCCAGGAGATGGTTTTATTTAAAAAAAAAAAAAAAAGGATTCAAGAGAGTGAATATGAACTAAGTTTTCTTTTAATGGTTATTTACATACTGTTGTCACCCAAAGCATTGTCCTCCCCCCCCCCACACACAACTTTTGGACACACCAGTGCTTCCTTATTGATAACCAGGGTTTTGTACACAGATCTAGCAGGCGGGCAGGGTCACACTACACAGTGCCACCGAGTAAAATTTGCATAGGCATGAAGCCTTAGAAAAAGCCTTGTATTGGGAACATTGAGGTGATTACTTGTAGTTAATTTGAATACAAAATCTATTTTCATGGAAAGTGTCAACTATCACCTTGGGCGGTGAACCAGTCTAGTCTTTAAAGGCAGCTTTCCTAATTTCAAGCTTGTAAAGGTGGAAAAGGGGGAAAAATGCAGTCTCTGCTTGGTGATTGCCACACAGCATTTGCTTCTTTTCCAAGATAAAGAACATTTGGAATATTATTTTTAATGAATTTGTATATGGATATTGTTGAACTTTTTTTTTCCTGAACAGACTATTTTACATAATGAGGAACATGTGCCTTCCCTGTACAACAGAAGAGGACTGAGTTTCAGTTTGCTGATATGCAACTTATGCAAAAGGTGAACGTGTTATTACTACAGCTATATTATGTTACCATTTAAAAGAAAAACCTGTTTATCCACTTTACTGAATTTATAGTTTCTGTACACATTAAACCTGTTACAGTAAACATTTATTTTAATCTTCTAAAAATGTTTGGTTTTCTAAAAATCCTGTATGTAAGGCTTCAGTAGCCCAGACTGACCTTGATCAATTGAGGAAACGTATTTGGAGATATTCTTCCTGTTGAATCGATAATCTTATAGTTTCCTGACTTGGTACCAAATGTACGGTCTTGAGAGGAGGTGTCCGAGATTATTATAGATTGTGTCTTTTCTCATGGAGGAAGTCCATGGCAAACCACCTCTGTTTGTCTCTTGCCTTGAAAACCCTGTGAGGTCACCATATGTTTGCTGTGACTTGGTGGCACTTTACACCTACACACATGTTCTCGGAACAGAGAGTAACCTTGAGACCATGTGTGGTATTGAGGATTGCTCATATTTGCTGGCATAGTCTTACATTAACACAGTACTGTCTGGGGTTGAAGTCTCTGACCCCCATACTTACCACAGGAGACCACAAGCCCCACTGAAGGCATGCCATGCTAGCAAGCCCCAATGCTGGTAAACTTGTCTGTCAGGTCGCAGCAGGCCTTGACAGAGCTGACTTGGGAGTCAGCCAACTTGAAGGAGCCCAGGTAGCTCTCAGCAGCATGCTCAGCAACAGGAGCCAAGCCAGCCGAGTTCTTAGTAGAGGCGATCCTAGCGTTGGGACCCAGTGGAGCTCTGGTAAAGGGGTATGGAAAGCAGGCAGCCTTGACCTTCTTAGAGGAGATCGGGCAGAGAAGCCAGCTCTTTAAAGAGGTCCAGGGGGAAGGGCCAGTAAGCTCACCAACCCAAGCCAAGGATCCATTGGCCCAGAGGTTTCTCACTCCCCAGGACTGAGTTGGGGGAGGGAGGATTATCTAAGCCCAGTGCTGGCCCTGGAGCTACCAGGGAGGAAGAGCCAGATTCATTCCCCGGCAGGTGGGAATAGGTAATTGGCAGAGCAGAGGGTGGGAATCAGGTCCCCTGCTCTATTCTGCTGAATCCCAGGCTAGCCCAATCTTGTCAGATTTTGGAAGCTAAGCTTAGTCAGCCCTATTTGGATGGGAGACCACCAAGGAAATCCAGGGTTGTGATGCAGCTGCAGACAATGGCAAACCACCTCTGAATGTCTCTTGCCTTGAAAACCCCAAGGGGTCTCCATAAGTTGGCTGTGACTTGAGGCAAAAAAACCTCCCAAAACAAGCAAAGAAACAAAAAACCCAGATAGAAATCTTGAACAGAGGCAAATGTTTACGTTGTGGGCAGTACAGAAATAAAATCTTTCATTTCAAATTAATAGTCAAATCAGTTTTAATTGAAAAATATAACTTGGTCATCTTTCACATACAGTCTGTTGCAAGATGATATTTTAATTCCTAGACACACATTTTATAATGTTGTAAAGTTATATTTATTCTTTGGGGCCAACAGTGTCACACCTATTTAAAGCAAGTCTTAGATCAAGGAAAAGAATAAATGTTGGAATGTACAAGTGAATTGTTTATTGAAATGGTAACACTGGCAATCTGTTGTATCGAATCACTGTCACTTGATTCCTACCAGTGCGTGATCTAGTTGACATGGTCTACCCAAGGAGAGTTATGATTCCAACAAATTTTTAGGTTTTGGGAGTTGTGATGGCAACTCTCTGCAAGGTCTGGATAGAGTAGCTTTTTGGTGCTTTCTCCGCCTCCCCCAGTCTACTCAGATTTCTGTCTCTTAGTTTATGTGTTAATAGCATAGGACACTGCTAGTCAGAACACTGCTGAGTCAGATAGAGCACGTCATAAAGCACATATGAAGATCTAGAAGATGCTGATGAATAGTGGCAAAACCCCCTTCTCCAACAGAATATCATCCAGCTCAATTTTTTACAGTGGTCTGGGTTTGTTAATAGCCATATTCAAACCACTATAAGATAAAGATACTTTGGTTATATTATTTTCTGGTAAAATCTGTCAGATTTACAGTGCAGTGTATGAAGAGTTATTCCAGTCTAAGTCCACAGAAATCAGTAGGCTTCTGTATCAGAGGCATTTTCTTGTTGGAATGACAGGATTTTGAGGGGCATTTTGTGAGAGGGAGGAGGCTGGAAAATAGAATTTTGTGGGCAGAAAACCTTGTCCCTCTGGAAACATTATAGTGTATCTTCTGTTGACCTTGTTTGTTTGGCCTTTTTAACATAGGTCAGGCTGTTTCTTGTGCTCTGGTTTTTTAGAACATCACCCTCAAACTGTCCATCAGACCTCAACACTGCTGTCCTTTAGAAATGCATACAAAATCACATTTCATGAAGAGCCTTCAGCTGAGCTGTGTGTCATGACTGAAGCATGTTGTGTTTGATACTGATTAGGAAATCTTCCTGGGCAAAAATTGACTATTATTTTAATGGTGCTTTTTAGAAATTATTGTTGTTTGAAAATATTCTTAACTTTTTATGCTTACTGCATTTTATTGTAAGCCTCCATAATCTCTTTGGAGGAAAAGGGTGGGTAATAATTTTTTAAATAAACAGGCTGTATTTCATGACTCTGTTCTACTAACGGCAGAAGGCTCCAGCATTAATAGAATGGAATCACAGGTTTCTACTCTATGTGTAGTGGAAGCAAGTCTCATTGGCCTCTAGCAGTTCCTTCTGACTATTTTACAGTGCCATCATTAGCAAGGTTATACCCTACCAAGCCCATTGAAGTCAGTAATATTAGCAAGGTGTAACTGGGATTGTACTGTTAGGACTGAAGTGACAATAATTAATGAGAACATACATCTCTATTACCAAATATAAATGAATTGTGTAAGCATCAGGGAGTAAAGCTAGATGGAAGTCTGAAATAAGTTGTAATACACCTATCAACCCTGACAAGAATCAGACAAAGTGAAATATTATGAAGGAGGAGGATAGGATTATTTCCTTACTCCATCACTCAATTTACTGACCCCAGGAAAGCGCATCGAACACACAAGCAGTATGTTCTGAGCTGGCTGAGATGGTGGCTTGCTGGACAATTTTATGAAGTTTAACCTTTACTTCAGTTATCCATAGTGCCAGCCACCTTCTAGCCTGGCTTTGGCTTGCATTTTAAAATGAAAAAGAATAGCTAGGCTCTAATCCATTGCTGCCTCAAGTAATCCAAGGAAATTCCCATGAAAATGTAATGTTAATGGTTTGATCATGTGTTATAAAGAATTACAGATCAACATTAGTATGAAAACCAGTTCAGCTGGGGGAGGCTGGTATTTGAATAATTACTTTTCAGACTCAACATTAATGCAAGTAAAACACTGACACGTGTCATATTTTATTCTGCACTGTTTATTTTGGAGTCTAACATCTTGCAAAATACACATGTAGCTGAGTGAATATCTATTAACTGATTATTTTTATTAATTGTTTGTTCTTGTTTTGGTTACAGAATGGGGTAGGTTAATTAATACAAGAAGGTTCTGCTGAACAAGCATAATGTATTGTCTGGAAGCTCAAGGATTGTGGCCAGGGTCCTGAAGTAAATTAAAGCTACATTGGAGCCAAACTTCAAGCATATAAATGTTCCCTACCTAGCAATAATAATACAGTCATGAAATAACGACTTCAGAAATACTGATACAATATTTCAAGTTTATATTGCATTTCTAGTTTTGGCAGCTATTTTCTTAATACTTGCATTTTTCAGCCTAGCATGTACTAGAATGTCCTCTGTATCTACTGCCAGCAGTAGATACCATACTGACAAACATTCTAAGACAAAAGGCTTAGTGTGACCATTAATTACGAACTGTCAAACACATGATGCAAGTTCTTATGCAATTCTGTGTAGAACCTTTGAAGGTTTCAATATTTAGGGTTAGGTAAAAATACATTGAACAGACTAGTGTTTTTTCAATTCATAATTTTTTTAACAGCAGCAATATTAATAACAATTATTTTAATTTTTAAAAAGAAACAATGCTCTGTACTTAAGCTTTACCTTACTGTTGTCATGTCCATGATTTTAAGATAACTAAAATACACTTGTCATCTTGCTGGAACTAGGTTATTGTCCATATCCATTTTTCTACCTGGGCTGTAGGTGAGGATAAAATAATCCACGGAGTACACCTTCAATAACTACATTTGGAAAGTCATCTGGAAAAAGAAGGGGAGAAGAAAAACTGCTTTCTTAGGTTTGTCAATACTATATAAATGTTTTTGTAGAATTTAACAAGGCAGGACTCAGTGTAATTTAGGATATTGCATCACCACCCTGTTTATCCATGTTCAGGGCTGTGCTATTAGTAATGCTGTTTCAGCACTAAACTCACTTTAGTGTAGCACTGGGCATTGCTTGAATGCACTGCCAGATTTGTAGCTTATTGATTTAAAGGGATGTTCTAATACTTAATGCTGCTAGGCTCTAGCTCTTTATCTGAATCTTTTCTCACAGGGAAGATGGATTACACTGGCAATTCAATTTCTAACAAAATCTCAATATACTTGAAGGAATTCCAAGATTTCTACTGGGAATACTTCACAGCAGTTTTTCCATTGTAGTTTACAGCACTGTTTAGTCCAAGTTGACTGGAAGAAGCGTATAGCATCACATAAGCTTCCTTGGAATAGCAAGACTGGTCCATGTAAATAAGGTCAAGTTCTTTACAAAAAGTTGAATTTAAAGGGGCAATATTTCCCCAAAACAGAGACGTACTACTATTAATCATATAATAAAAGCTAAATGAAGCTAGAATGAAAACTAAACCTCCAGGAAAGACTAAAATACATTTATTGTATTTTTTTCCAGTAGTTTAGAATTTTCTCCTGTCTTATGTTAGTTCTGGAGAGATAGTCGTGCGATAGACATAAATAAAGTTGTTTAAAAACCAAAATAAGTCACCTGTTTTAACAAATACTGGGTTGGATCCAGCTAGCTTTTTTGTTCAAACTTGCCAGATTCTCCTCCATATTAGAACTACTGTTCCCCCATGGCTTTTATTTGTACAGGTACCATGATCCCCAAAGCAGATTTTTTTAGTGGTCAAGTGGAAAATCTGGTTAGATGATCTGGTTAGACAATCCATTATTACAATTCTATTCACTGGTATTCTAATTATTCAAAAGAAGTGTTTAAAAACTGTTAAATCAAGCCTTTTATTCCAACAAGGACCACCACCGCCCCCAGTCAGATACAGGAAAAAAACATTTCACTAATCCAGTGAAGGGCAAATGCTTCACCTTGAGGAGCAATTTTTGGATATTATTGTCAGAGCTGACAGGAAGAATATGCAAGTTCCTTGTATTGCTTTTCTGAAGAGCTTCAGTAGGGGCAGAAGTTCCACTGGAACCTTCCTTCTATTCTTAGGCTGTTTGAAGTAGAGAACAAAGCCCAGGTGGAAAGAAAGGTGAAGCATCTGTCTGTCTTCACGGGAGTGGCTGTAAGCAGAAGCCTAAGCTGCCTCTCCCTCATGTCATCTGCTGCTCTCAGAAGCTAGAAAAAACCATGCCGTGTGCCTGATGCTGCTTGTGGGTGGTCAGTCAGCTATTTTTTTCTAAACTCCCTGCTTAAATGAAGCCAAAGTGAGTAAACTAGGTTTTCAAAAATATGCATTGGTATATTTTGAAACACCATGCAAAGTATGCAAAGTTGGAAATACTGCGCCCCAATCACATTCTTTTATGCAGTCAGAATGCATCTGGATGCCAGGACCACCAGGAACAACAGTTGGTATAATTTGGGGTCTGTAGTGGGAGGAAGAATCAGCAAAAATCATCTTCTCCCCACCAGCAAAGTACCCTTCTGCCAGTGAAAAATAAGGTTTGTAAGCAGGTTAAGATTCTAGCCCCTCTTTTTTGTACCAGATACTGAGGTTATGCAACAAATGCAGGGCAGCAAATGCATAAAGAAGTACATATTTATTTATCCTGTTGTTATGACTGGTCCTCTTCAAGATATAATCCTGCGACCAGTGTGTATAGTAAGCAAACAGTCATGTAGCCTGGTTCACAAATCAGCTTCTGCATTGTTCACTGAAATGGCAGTGAAAACTCCTTGCATCTACCCCTATTAAATATGATGTAGCGTTCTTTCCCCATATTTCCTAGTTATGGTTTTTAAATCACTTTGAAGTAGAAACTCCTGATATATAGGAAAATTATTAGGACTTGGGCTCAGCATGTATTAACAACGTGGTTTGTGTGGTGCAGGGTTAAATCAGTAAACAGCTGTTAACAGATGACAGGTTTGATTACCATTGGCTGTAGGCAAGACATATGGATCCCTTAGGAACAGCAGCACTGGCTGGTGGGACAGTTTGCTGGAAAGGTCAAGAACAGGAATGTCAGCATCAAGGGACAGTAAAACGAATATGCTACAAACTGGTTTCAGTAAAGAAAGATGCAATAGCTGGTTAGGTAGTATGTTTGTTTATACAGGCTGACTTTATGGAAAAGGAACATTCCATTTTCAAAGCAAGGAATTTATTTCAAGGAATAGATTAGGTTAACATATTTACTTAGAGGCAAGTAACAGTGAGCTCAGTGTTACAAGTGGTGTAGGAGTGTAGCCACACTTAGACATCATTCTCAAATTGCTGGCTCTGGAATAATCCCATTGTAAAATAAACTGGAGTTGTCTGTAACCCATAATGTCTTTTTGTGTTAAAACTTCAGCATTAATTAGTTTTAGCTGTTTTGTTGCCTTTGGATACTTTGGCCAGTGTTTAACATACTATTATTATTGTATTTTAATCTTTTAAAATTTTCAGACAGTTTCTCCAGTTGTTACCTAAAGATAAATAAGCAGCAGTAACCACTTGGCCATTTCTCTGTAGAGCAGAATACACTAAACTGGTTTAAACGTACAAAAGAGTAAGAGTCTAGTAGCATCTAGTAGGGTATGAGCTTTCGTGAGTCACTGCTTGCTTCTTCAGGTATCAGCTACTGGACTCTTACTCTCTACTGCTACAGACAAACACAGCTACCCATCTTAAACAGTCAACTTTAATTATAGTTGTACAAGTGGGGACCCACAACAAAATGTTGTGTAATGCGTTATAGTTTGAATTGTGTCTTAATTTACAGTGCTGCCCTGCTTCACCATATGGAAAGGCTAACACATATGATAACTTCACAGTGTTGGCTAAAGGAATCCACATGCATCAATTTACCTTGTCCTGGATATATGGTGATATGTCTCCTTGTTGGTGGTACTCCATCACTGGTTTCAAATGCTGCGGCAATTTCTGCCACTTGTGGGTGATTGCAATGCTTTATATCTTCATTTGGTTCATGGTAAAAACAGATTGAATATTCTACTAGCAATCTTCCTTGTACTTTTGTTGTTTCTTCTTCTGTATTTAATATTTCTTTCATATGTATATATGTTTTTGAATATGGGTTTATTCGTTGTATTAACTTTGTTAAGATGTGCATTAATTCTACATTAAGGTTTGTGTTTTTGGTTCTTTGCATTCTTTTTAAGTTTTAAGAGGACAGTGGAGCCTGTAGCAAAAGAAGTAAGGGTGAGAAGCTCAGATGTCCTTTTAAAACGTCCCCCTGCTATTTAGCCATTCATACTGCAGGAGGAATCCTCCCTAATCCCAGCTCCAGTTCTGCTTTTGCTTCCTCCCCTCTTCCCCCACTCATTATCTCTCTCTGGCTATCAGCAAATTTATCTCTCACTGTCAATGCAGTGGGGCCTGGAGTAGATCCCTGCGGTGGCCATTTCAAAAGATATTGAGGGGGATTCAAACCTACCCCCTTTTTTTTACTTTTTGGATATTTTTGCAGACCCATGGAGTCTGTAGAAAACCCTGTTCAGGAAGAGTGTGCCCTCTGTTTGTGGAAATAGGTATCCGCAGGAAGAGGGGACTGTTAAGAATTAGATATATAGATTAGCTTTAAGCATCTAGAAGTAGATCTAATATAGTCCTAATATATTTCAAATTCATCAAGTAATTGCTACTGTGGACCTCCACAGTAAACAACATGGTTAAGATGACAGCTTTCATTAGGCATTTCTGGAGGAGACAGTACAAGTTTTCTGATTCAAAATCTCTTAGAAGCAAATATGGATTGCCTTATGAGCTATCATGGTGTAACTGTTTACATATCTGAACTTCAGCGTAATGCAACATTTTTACTTGCATCATGAATTAAATGGGGATTTATCTGCCTTGCCCCAGCTGCCATATGTATGCCCAAAATGTATCTGTTGAGGGTTGGTGTGTGTGTGAGGGGGGAACCTTTCTTAACAAAATGCCATGTGGCTTGGTTAGCCACACAAAGAAGCAGGACTTGGGCTAAATCCCTTGCACAAGTGGAACAAACCCTTGCACTACTTTCAGAAGAAAAATTTCAGCCAGCTCCGCTATCTTTTTGCAGTCATCCCTATGTGCCACATTGGCACTTTGTTCAGGAGGATCCCTCAACCTTCAGCAGCAAGACCCATCTCTGCCAACTACAACTACTTCTATAACTTAGAATTCATCCTATAACTGTACATTATTTATAACCTTAACACAACATTAGGCACAATCCAACCAAAGATAAATAAAGATAAGCACTGGTTAAATAAAACATGACTTCTAAAATATTCTCACCATTATTATAGTGATATCATGTAACTGTGAATGCCTTACCTTGATTCTTCAGATTCTAACTCTTCAAATGACCTGAAATGTAATGATACATACAAAATAAGTTATATAAAGAATTATATTATTAAGAAATATTTTCTATTGCAAGGCACAGATGCAGTGTTATCACATTGTCTTGACATTAATGCTTCAATGTAGCCAGCTGTCTAAACAATTTTAGAAATTACTGTATTCTAATAGCATTAACTAGAAGAGTTTGATAGTTGAGGATCTTTCTGATATCTGGCCTGTTTCTCTAGTTTATACAACTGATAATTCAGTTCCTTCACCTTTTTTGTATACTTTCATGTGGTCCAGATACGAACACGCAGAAATGCATAAGGATCTCTGGCCATGGTACCAGTTCAGATCAAGACATACAAAAATACATTGTCCATAAAAATAAATGGGGAAACTGGCCGTCTTGAGTCCCAGTGAGAAAGGCAGACTATAAATAACATATATAAACAATAAATGCCTACACACACATCTCTAATGCCCTGCATGAAAAGCTAAACCATGGCAATTCAGTTAAATACAGTATCTCACATTTGTGGCATCATATTCTCTTATTTGAAGTCAGACATGATGCCACAGGCAAGGAGATTTCCAGATGCATTTGTGGAGTTTTTCAATACATGCATAAAACAGATAACTGGATTCTATAAGGGTGGTTTTTTAATGACTTGTTCAGTTGCAAGTGCAAATGTTATGAAAATAACCTCATTTCAGTGATGTGTCAACTCACACCAAAGAATTGCAGATTTTCCCCGCAACAATGGTTTTTAGAACTATTCCTGCCTTTGCAGCCATCCTCAGAGCTTGAGAGCAAAGCTACTTGGATAGTCCCAGAAGCACACTCAAACCTCCAAAGAAGGCTGCAAAGGTGGGCAGAGTTCCTGCCTTTGCAGTCAACCTTTTAGTAGAAAGTGCAGCTACTAGGACAATCCCAGCAGCCACACTCTTAGACCCAGCGAGACCTGCAAGGATTTGAAAGAAGAGGAATCTCAAGCCTTTTCCTGCTAGTCCCTGATTCCAATCCTCTTTCTCTAGCTCCATTTGACTACCCTCCCCCCTTGTACTTTCATCTTCCATGCTCTTTCCCCATCATCCACGCTCCAATCTTTTTTGGGGTTGTTTTTGTTTCCCCTGACAATCCTCTTGCCCAGCTTTACCTCCCTGGCTCCCTCTCCATTTTCCTTCCTCCACGCACTGCTCCCCATCATCTACCCTCCTAATCTTTCCCCCCATCCTAGTCCCCCTGCCCAACTTCCTGGCTACTTGCCTAACCTGCCCTTCCCTCACATGTTGGCTCTCCTCCTCTCTCCCTTGTATCTCTCATGGCTTCTATCTCCATTCCCTCTCCTTGTCCCACATGCCCCCCTTACCTCCTTCCTACCTTTAACTCTGTTTTGGATTGCTAAAGCAATCCAACATGCCAGCCAAAGTCACTGGATGTCCTCTGACACCTACACATTTGTAGACACTGCTGTTCCATTTTGGCGATGTTTAGCCTCTCATTAAAAAAAGTTTTCAGATTTTAGATATATGCTTATTTGAATTAGCAGTTACTATTTCCTGACAGTGGACTTGTATTACAGAGCACTACTGCTTCAACTGCTGAGGGCCTATCTATAACCCGCTGCCCCCCCCCCCTTTTGAGATTTTTAGTTAGAAGTCTTACCCACAACTTTCTGCTTTTGGGAGAGAAGGAAAATGACGAACGTTGAGGAAGTCAAGAAAAATTTTAGGAAGCTCTTCATTTTCTAAAATAATACTCTACAACAAAGAAAAAATGGATCAAGAGTGCATACATATACATTAATTGTTATTATATACCTTTATAAAAAAGTCTTGTGACACTTTAAAGCCTAATGAGTTTATTGTGAGGTAAGCATTTATAAGCTGGAGTCCACTTCATCAGATGTATTAAGTGAATTTCTAAAAATAAAGATTGCCTTGTTTGTTTTCCAGCTGCATATATTTAATAACTACAGTCACTTAATTCTTAGGGCTTGAAAGACTCTCATCCATCATGGCAGCATGGAAAAAGAAGTCTCCTGAGTGTCTGGGGGCCCTCGCTGGTTTCATTAATGAAAGATTTAGAGCATGTTAACAAGGTGAGGAGAGTGTTTGGCTTGACAGATCAGCTTACAATGCACTGGTTCATCTATAAACAGACAGTAACCTGGACATGAAATTGAAATCTAGAGATTCCCAAGCTCTATGTAAGACACTACACATACAGGAAGCTGAGTTTTCAACACAAACAATAATCACTTTGACCTGTCAATATTTTATCAGAAAAACGACAAAGTGTAAAAATACTCACTGAGTTTCTTATAGAAGAATTTGGATCAAAATTATGATCAAAATTAAAATAATATAACATGTCCATAAACTCTTTTCTAGACTTTATTACACCTGTTCTGAAAAGTGCAGTTCATATTATGATTAGGGGTGGGGGGGATAGGGTTTTTTTAGGATTCGGGTATATTGAAGCCAAATTTTTTCAGGAATACCAAAAAACCCCAAATTCCAATACTGGTATGGTATTGATACCCGAAAACTTTCAGCTCCATTATATCCTATGGGGCCACTGTAGTCAATGGCAAAAAATCTTCTAACACGTTTTCAGGGGGCTGGGAAAGGTTTGAGGTAGAGGCACCAAATTTGTACTGTAGCTGCTGGAGCCTCTCCCCAAAAGACCCCCAAAGTTTTGAAAAGATGGGACCAGGGGGTCCAATTCCAGGGGCATCCAAAAAGGGTGCCCCCAATTCTCCATTGTTTTCTATGGGAATGGGGAAAAGACAAACAGCAGTGTCTCCCCAAGAATCTCTCTGTAGGAAAGCGAGTGAGGTGTGGTGTGAGGAGGCATGTTTGCCAGGCCAGCAGCAGAACCTGTGCAGTGTGCCCCCCAGAACCAGTACCACTGTGGCAGTCAGTGCCCAAACCCAACTGTTCTCAGGTCAAATCAGAGAATCTCAGCAGCATAAAATGAGGGGACATGTTTGCCAGGCCAGCAGCAGCAGAACCTGTGCAACGTTAAGTATCACCACAACAAGAAGCTCCGCCCACTAATGCCTCAGAAAGTGAGAGTGTAATGTATTCATATCCGACCACGTGCGAGGCTAAGTCTCCACGCGGTCATGCGAAGCTTCCGAGCTTCGCTCCCAGAGACATTGGCCCAAGCGGATCCTAGCCCATGCCAATCAGAGGGCTAGGCTCCCGGCCGAGAGCCCATGGAACTCTCCACCACTGTAAATAGCCTATCACTGGTGTGTGTGGGGGGTATTTTGGGTGTGGGATTGTTGCACATATAAGCCAGCCTGCGAGCCAGGAAAAGTTGTCTTGTTCTTTCCTGAAATAAGTATGAGAGCTGAAATCACTAGTAAGTCTCAGTACTTTTCAGAGAGGGAGGGGATAGTGTCTGTCCAGTCCACTGATCCTCCTCTCTCAGCAGTAGTACACCAGCCATCACTGCCTGCCTCAGTGGAGGAGGCTTAGCCTAGGTGCGGCAGCTGCCCTTCATCACAGGCTCTCCCTTTCCCACCTCACACCTGCAAAAGAAAATTATTTTTCAATTAACATTAATTTACATTCATTATAATTTATGGTCATCCTGTGGGTTCTGCTGGTTTCTGTCTGGCTGCTTGGCATCTACCCTACTCTACCCTGTTCATATGGAGAACAACTTTTTTGCTGCTGTTTTAATTTCAGCATGCAATTTTGGTTTGAGGTGGCTGGTAGTGTAACTTAGGTGCATACACGCACCACCCTCAACATCACCCTGCACAGCACGGCTATCAGGGTTTTGTAGAGGTATTTCTGCTGCAGGTGGGATGGATGGAAGTGGGGAGATTGGTGGGGCATTTTTGTGCCAATCAAACTGGTAATGGCCCTGGCTGCTACTTCTCCATAGCCTCTCTAGTTTTAATCATGGGAAGAGCGTTGTAAGCTAACTTCCCAGCACAGACCGAGAGGGGATGCAGGCATAGGTATGTGTGCTCACTTCAATCACCCTCAAAGTCCAGGACCGGGAAACAGAACAGTGGCAAGTTGACCTTCTGGAAGACCAACTGCTCAACTTACCAGGGGAGAAGGCATGAGCGATGCAAGTAGACAATGTCGCCCACATGGGGAAAAACGTGCTCACTCTGCACGCTCGTCGGAGGGCATGACAGGAGCTTCTGGGCCACAGCAGAGATGTCCAGCCAGACCACCTCCTGCATGGCCCAGTAGCTCAGTGGACACATTGCCTGCAACTCGTAGGGCTCCGAAAGGTACTCCCTCACCATCGCAGCCACTGTGTCCTCTCTCATGTGCCTGCTGCTCCCAGGAGAGGGGCCTAGGATCCACCCAATGACTGCCATCTCGTCAGTGCAGCGGCAGCCATGGGGATGCTGCCTAGCAGGGGAGGTGGGGGATGAACAGCAGTGGAGCTGCTGGCACCCGCCTCCCTCAGCTTTTGGCAACGTGACCCTTTTGGCCCGCCTGTGCTCAACTCGCCGGGAAAGCGCATCTCACCATTGAGTGAACTCGTTGGCCCTTGATGCACTGGTCACACATGGTAGCCAGCATGTAGACCTGCTGGAGAATAGACTGAAAGTGGTCCTTGAGTCTGTCTTGCAGACTTCTGCACACACACCGCCGGAAGCATGTCTGCATGTCCTGTAGCTGGCTCCAGAAATGAGGCCAAGTCCTCACGAGCCGTGTGGATCATGGGAATGACCAGAGCCAGACTTGCCATGTCAGACGAGAGCATTTCTGTGTAGCTCTTAAAGGGCCTAAGAACTTCCACAGCCTGAGAGATGGTCAACCAGTCCTCCTGGTTGAGCCGGCTCTCTTCCTGAATGAGGGGCTCTCTCCTGCTCCACCAAGCGTTCAAGCATGACACAGATGGGAGTTCCAGCAAGTGGTGACGTCGCCAAGCAGGCAGTGCACCAGCACGCCTGTCAGTGTCTGCTTCTCACGCAGCAGAAAGGTGTCCTTTGCACTGTGAGAGACGTTACCCATGATGTACCGGTATTTCTGGAGGGTATGCTGGAACTCACAGGTCACAGCGTCCAGACTGGGATTCTCTGCAGAACCCAGCCCCAAAGCATCCTTGACCACGAGGTGGAGAAGGTGGGCTGCACAGTAAATGCGCGTCAGGCCCAGTCGCGTTGCCGCCACCCTAATGTTTGTGCCACCATCAGTCACCATGAAGCCCATGGTGAGGTCCCTGCCTACCTACGCTAACTGTCTCTCAACGGTAGCCAAGATGTTGTCTGCTGTGTGTGCCCTGTCAAGTTTCGCGACGTGGAGCAGAGCCTGGCAGTAGCCGGCCCAGCAGCCCTGACCCTGCCTGACGCTAGTTTCCCCTCCCCCACCCAAAACGTTGCTTGGTTGCCACCAGTGTGCAGTCAACAAAAGATACGAATCATGCACCTGACAGGAGGTCCAGATGTCGGACATGAAGTGCACAGCTCTCCCCTGATCATGGGAGAATTGTGCCTTCACGTGGTCCCTGGCAGCCCTGTACAATGAGGGCATCATGGTCCTGCTCAGCATAGTAGAAACAGGGGGCGTGTACCAGGGATAGGCATCCTGGAGCAGCCTGCAGAAACCAAGCATCTCTGTCAGAGATGTTTGGCATTCCTACCCCGTTCCTACTGCAGAACACTCGGGGAGAGCACTGGAGGTGGTCGCAGGATGACTCACCTGGTCGGCTGGCGGTGGCCACTTGGGCACCCCAGCAGCCGCCTTTATCTTCCCCCTGAAGAAGCACCGCCTGCTTTGTCACTTCATCTATTTTGTCTGAATGCAGGATATTTCTCCTGGAGGAACAGGTAGCAATGTGAGTATAATTGATTCCTCAGATGATCTGAAAGAGTTCATCACCTCACTGCTAAGTATCCAATTAATGTAGTTGTGATTAAATTAGCCTATTACAGCTAATCAGTGCCTTATTTTAGCGATGTGAAAGTATGGTTGGTCAAAAACTAACCTATACAAAGAGGGAGTCAGGCACAATCAAAGTAGATCTCTATCAGTTCTTACAGACAAGAGATAAAACCTTGGCATTCCGACAGGTGCAAAGCCTTTCAGTTCACCTTTAAATGAGCATTCTGCATTAAATGTCTCTTCCATTTGCATTTTGTAAATTCAGCACTCTACTGCTATAAAATTCATCTAGCTCTGCATTCCAGTTATGCATGGTGGGAAGAGTGAAGAGGGATGCAAGCCAAAGGATATGTGAACTGCATAACAATATCTGCTGTGAACCCAAACAAAGCAAACCATTAATAGTTACTAATCTAGGTATTGGAAGAAAAACTTGAGAAAGCTCTGCAAGCAATTAAAGTACTTTTTAACACACTCGCTTTCATAGGGTGGCAGCTGGGCCTAATTGAGTCATGCAAATCAGGTGGTATCAAGTCACCCAGAGGGTGCTGTGGATGCCAGCCTCTAGGTGGGACCTGTGGATGCCTGGAATTACTGCTCATCTCCAGACTACAGAGATAACTTCCCATGGATAAAATGGATGCTTTGGAGGGTGGACTCTGTGACATTGTACCCCACTGAGGTCCCTGTCCTCCCCAGGCTCCACCCGCAAATCTCCAGGAGTTTCCCAGCCTGGATCTGGCAACCTTATCCACATTCCCCTGCCGGTGGCCGGGGGGACGGACCTGGTGACCCTAGACTGCTGCCAGGCCTAGGGTTGCCAATCTCTAAGTTGTGCCTGGAGGACCGCTCCCCCCAGAATTACAACTGAACTCAAGACAGCAGAGATCTGT